CAACCAAAGTAACACCAAATAATCAACGGACTCCTAGAAAATGAATGGTTTATTGAATTCTGAGCAGCCACATGAAGCTTTTTCATCACTTTAAGATACTACCTAAGCTACAAAATAAAGGGTTTTTTGTTCAGTAATTTTTAGTCATGTCCAATTCTTCATGACCTCACTTGGGGTTTTCTTGGCAGAGATACTAGAGTAGTTTGCCATTTCCTTCTCCAGCTCATTTTACAGATGAAGAAACTGAAGCAAATAGGGTTAAGTGACTTGCCCAAGGTCACACAGCTCTTGTCTCATGTTGGTTTCAAACTCAGGTCTTCCTGATTCCAGGCTCAGGACTCTACCAAAGAACAGTATATTTGTCAAAGATGTTTTTACAGTAGAACCACAATATATCTCAATAAGAGATACTGCACATAACCAGAGAGAAAAAATAGAGTCAGGGCTGGAATCACCTTCAAGGATTATGATCCTAGGCATCAGAGAACTCCAACCATATAGTCAAGGGGAACTAGCCCTGGAAGTTGAGAACTGAATTATTGAGTACAACAGGCCATGGAGGCCAACTAAGCAACTGAAATAATAGAATTTAAAATACTTTTGAAAGTTATATATAATGCTATGTAATGCAATATCTCACCATTTTGATGATATATTATATAATAATAACAGTAATTATTATTATGTGCTATTGATTGAAATTATTTGAGGAAAAACATGGTTCACACTTTATTTTATTCAGCTAACACTGTATTCTTTTTTTTTTTTTTTGGTGAGGCAATTGGGTAAGTGACTTGCCCAGAGTCACACAGGTAGTGGTATGTGCCTGAGGTCACATTTGAATTCAGGTCCTCCTGACTCCAGGGCCGGTGTGCCATCCACTTCACCAGCTAGCTGCCCCCTAACACTCTACTCTTTAGTAAAATAAAAAGTGTTTTCCTGTAATAGTAGGGGTCACAAATAAACACTCAGCTTAGTCTGGTTGCCTAAAATTCAAATCAGCTGTTCAAATCCTTCAACATGCTTTAGGCAAAGCTCTTAGGAAGCCTGAGGCCATTTTATTTAAATTTAAGATTACGGAATGTTAAAAAGCCCAGAAGAGGTAGACTATTAGCATTTTAATACATCTTTGGTAATTTATTAAAAGTCATTAGATTTGGGAGTCCAGACGGTGACCTTCCAGTGAAATAAGCCCCAAGACCAAGAGCACAACCTACAAGAAATGCTCTGAATAATTGTCAAGAAAATGATCAGCATGAGACATGGGGTCTAAATCACCCCCCTCAGAAATTCGACTGCAGGGTCGTAGAAGAAGAGCAAATTGTACTTGGGATATTTGTATTTCTACAACCTACACTTTTCCTCAGCACTTAATTTTCTTGAAATAGTATTTAATAAGTAGGTACAAGTTATGGAGTGCAGTTTGGTGGCAAAATGGATAGAGTCCAGATCTGGAGTCAGGAAGATCTGAATTCAAATCCAACCTCAAACACTTACTAGCTATGTGACCCTGGGCAAGTCACTGAAACCTGTTTACCTCAGTTTCCTCATCTGTAAAATGAGATGGAGAAGGAAATGGCAAACCACTACTAAAATGGCGAACCACTCCAGTATCTTTGCCAAGAAAACCTCAAATGGGGTCACATAGAGTTAGACACAACTGAAAGGACTCAACAATAACAACCAACACAAGTTATGGAAGAATACGTATGATTTGGGGGTATTAATAAGAGAGAAATCCTTAATGTGTCTCACAACCTCTTATGCGCTAACTTTAAGGAGATCCTAAGCACTTCAAGAAGGGAACTAGTTTGCATTTCATGTTCTATATTATGTTCCCCATCACCACCTGGTAGAATGTAAATTCATTGAGGGAAGGAACTATTTCATTTAATCTTTGAATTCACAGCATGCATGCTGAACCATCCCTGGCAGTACTAGGTTAATGTCCCTCTTCCTGACTTCCCTATTGCTCTAAAGAGCGCCATCCTCTTTGTCCCCTAGGCTCACATTTTAGGTACCGTCTTCAACTCCTCACTCTCACCTCAGCTCCCATAGTCCATCTGTTGTCAAAAACTGTAAATTCTATCTTTAAAACATCTCCCATGTATGTTCTCTTCTATCTTCTGACACTACCAATGTTCTGATGCAGGTCCTCATCACTTCACACCTGGACTATTGCAATAGCTTCCTAGTTGGTTTCCCTGCCTCAAGTCTCTTGCCATTCCAGTCCATCCTCCACTCAGTTTATCAAAGTGATCATCCTAAAGCACAGGTCTGATCTTGTTGTCTCTCTATTCAATAAATTAATGCTCCTTTAGCCTCCAGGATCAAATATAAAATCCTCTCTCTTTTAAAGTCCTTCATGATACGGCTCTTTCCTATCTTTGCAGTTTTCTTACATCCCTCGAAATACTGTGATTCTGTGTCTCTGGCCTCCTTAATGATCCCCACTCAAGACCTTGCATCTCTAGTCTCTGTACATTTTTACTGGCTCTTTCCCATTCCTGGAATTCTCTGCTCCATCAAATCTACCTCCTAGTTTCCTTCAAGTCTTAGTTAAAATCCCATCTCCTTCAAGGAGCCCTTCTTGGTCCTTCTTAACGTTAGTGACAGGATAGATTAGCTAGACAGACAGACAGCTCTTGTTCATACAAATCAAACTCCCTTCCTACCTCCCTTTAGGTACCCATGCTTTCATACCCATTCCCTCGTCTATAATAGAAGATCTGACAAACTAATTCACAGAGTGAGAATACATACACAAATTATTCATATATATATATGTGTGTATGTATACATATATAAACACATATATGTATAGACACATACATATACACGCTAACATATTTACATATTTGTTTATATGTATTGTAATGAAGAGTAACGAATTAGAGTGAATAAGAAATCATAAGCTCTAGGAATGAATTTCTAATTGATGAATTTGAGACAGGAGTAAGGAGAGGTAGCGGTTATTTTTTAGAATGAAGACAAACATCTTTGTAGCATCTCCAAAGCTATATCATGTCTGTGGTTATCTTGTCTATGTACAGGTTAAGACCTTGAAATCCTGACAATATTATCTCTTTTAGGCTATCAGCTTCCTGAGGGCAGGGAGTTGGGATCATGTAACAGTTTCAACATATTACGTAGCATAATACCATAGACTTTATATGTTTTATGATGAGGCTGAGGTGACCAATCCATTAATCAGCAAGCATTTATTAAGTCAGTAAGCACCTACTATGTGCTAGGCACTAAGCTAAGGCCTGGTCAACAACAACAACAACAAAAAAAAGGTCAACAAAAAAATACCAGCCCTCAAAGAACTCTCAATATAATGGAAGAGACATCATGTAAAAATCTATGTACACAAAAAATATATACAGGATAAATTGGAGATCATCTCAAAAAGAAGACATTAACACTAAAGAGAATGGCAGAAGGAGTGTAGCTGAGGTTTGAGGAGAGAGAAAAGAGAAAAAAAAGGGAAAGTGGAGACTTTGGAATAGATGCTTAAAGCACAGTCACTTCATGTTTAGTTTTGTCTAGGGTCAGCACCGGTAGTCAGACATCTAAAAAGAGTAGAATGAAAATAGTGAACCTAGAGGAGAAAGTACAATGAAATTTATAGGTCAGGAGTAGGTATATTTTAGGGGCAGGGATTAATTATAAGAAGGGAAGGGAAAGCACTGTTTGATCAATCCTGCCTTATTCCCCAGCCTATGTATATTTCTAGGTGGGGATCATGTTTCCTAAAATTTGATTTCTATAAAGTTTATGTGTGGCAATCTGACAAAACAAAGTTAAGCATTAAAATTTCCCTCAAAGCCCCTTCCTCATACCATAGACTAAAATTTAATGCATCTAGCCCTATTGGTTAAATAAATGGAATGTTAACAACATTAGATTGACCATTATACACCACCTACCATTACTTAAGTAAAATCAGTTAGTGTTTATGATGTCGCTAT